TTACTTCCTTGCGTACGGATGACAGCTGCGTATGACTTAATGTATTTTCTGGTGCTTTCACTTCCAGAGACAGTTGTAAGCATTGCGTAACTGCCTCGAGGGTCTTGACCATTTTAACACAACGTGGTGCGATCATCCGCCTTGCGCGGAGTGGGGGTTCTGCACCCCGCACAACATGATCTACTCGACCACCATTATGGTTACCGCCAAAAAGAAAACAGAGGTAAAAAAAACAATGGTAATCTGGTTGCCGAGTCCACGAAGTGAATTGGCTTGTTTTACAACGTCGTTGCCAAGCGACGAAAACCCAACCCCGATGGCTAATACCGGGGTGGCAGTGAGGGGGGGGGCAGTTGGAAGAGGTGGTAGGAAGGCAATCATCATCGCAGAAAACAGTAGTGAGCTTGAGGTAGCCGCGAAGCTACTCTGCGACATGCTTAGTGCAGAACAATTTGCCGCAGGCGACGCGCGTGTGAGGGGAGAGTGAAGGCACGTTAGGGTGGAGTAGACTCTTCATACGTGCATCGTCTGCAAGGCTATTTAGCCTTCAAGCAACTACCCTGTTTCACGTTCCTTGAGATGGGTATCGTCCCTTCCATCCAAGACTGTCTGCAGCACGCCCCCCCGCCCCCCCCCAACCCAACAAACGATTGAGCGAAGAATGCCGACGCCCGTCTCAAAATATGGCCTAGGTTGCATCTCAGTTCCCCCTTTGCTTATCGCTGACCGTCGCACAGAGCTTCGCTCTGTTGGAATAAATTCTTGCCCGCCTTGCTTGCAGTACGCATACATGCATGCCTGGTCGACGGAATACCTTCGTTCGCTCCGGCTTAGGAGGGACGTGAGGGTATGTTTATCTTGAAGGCTGTTGATCGCATCAGAACCACCCCAACCCCCCTCCCCCCCCAACGAAAACAGGACAAAAACACCACAATCTTGATCCTCCTTAAACCGGTGCGTGTGTGGTCGATAGGAACAAATATAGTGCAAGTCGTAAGAAGGAAACCCGAGCATCCCCCTCTCCACTACCCCTCCCCCCCGCCCATTCCAAGGACAAACGTTTCGCATAAGACAGGCTGAATGCATCAAACTTAGCAGTAACCACCTCCACCCTCCTCCCCTCTCTCATCCATTTGGCGTTTGCCAAGGTCACGGGTATGCAGATGGTGCACCTCGGGGAAGTGGGCGCGGAGGAGCTGTTGCGGCCGTACCGCGGAGTAGTGCCATACCATGCCGACGCTGTGCGGCATTTCAAGTCCGGAAATTGTATGGCGCTAAGACTTGAGGTGATTTTTCCAGTCAGCTCGTGATAGGCAAACATGCTCTTTGTCGGTTGACCCACGATGTGTAGGCGAAATGCTTTCGCCCACTCCTAGACCAAGCCTTTTCATTCATAAGGCCGACACCATGCAAGGAGGTTCGATTGATCTAACCAAGGCCCCAAAGCGGCGCTAGATGCTTGTCTTCTTCGGGAACGTGCTTGGCCTCCGGGAGGAGGAGTTGCTATCCTGTCTTCATGGAGGCCTTCTCCGTAGCAGTAGCGAGGCGTGGGTATGTCTTCACTCTCACTACCACCCCAGAGACAAAACTTCTGTTGCGCTTTGTTCCAAATCGTCAAGCGAAAGATTGAACGGAATCGTCAACGAGCAATTCCGCTGCACGATCAACCCCAAAATGGTGTTCGATTTCGCCTCCAACGCCTATGGCTTTTCGCCGGAGCCCTCCAGAAAGGAGAAGACGTCGTGGAGGAGTTCAGGGAGGCGTGTGGCCCGGCAGACCCGGAAGTGGCGAGAGCGCTGTATCCACACACTCTGAGGGCTCTCCTTGGAGTGCAGCAGGTGTTATGTAGTTGTTGTAGTTGTTGTTATTGTTGTTGTTACTGCTCGTGTCGATAGACAGGCCTTGTGGCCATTGTTCCATCTTATGCACGATCTCACCCACGGGAGCTGGAACAACATGCGGGAAAGATACCGCCGGTGACCTCCTTTGCCAACGATAGCCTTACCACGAATCGTTTGTTTCAGGCGACGAACGCTGTGCACTGCACTGATCTGCCCGAGGATGGCCTCCTGGAGTGCCAATATATGTTTGGCATTCTCGCGAAGGAACGTCAGGGGGCGTGAGACGAAGCGATACACTCTGGCGTCACACGGGTTGCCAATACTGGCGTGATCGGGCGCTACCTTGGCCCTAACGCAGCCGAGACTCGCGTAAGGGCATGCCAAAAGTATATGGGGGCATTCCTCTCAAAGTATGCCTATCGCAGAGGCTCTCAAACTCGAGGGGGGTGGGGTACACAAACAGCATGGTACGCGACACGAGAGTTGATATAATAGCGTATTGCGCTTCCCCTGCCCGTCTACTGGGTCTCCATATGGATTCCAGTGCTTCTCATACTTGAGGCCCATTCCCTGCGCGAGGGAACCATGACAGTATTTTCAAAATTTCATGATAATGGGTTTGGTATTTTGGTTGCAGCCCGAGTAGCGGAGACGGGGCATGCGATGGGCGTGGGTACCGGCTGGTGGGTCTCTTTTGTTCTCGTGGGCCTCTTGTTTGATTCTCCGCAGCGAAGTAAGCGAATAAAACTCGTGCGGCAATCCCGATTCAGCGAATGCTCTCTTTACATACATACCTACCTTCGTTGAGGACAAATGTCGGCTTACTAGGTGAGAAGTGCAACACTACTACCGGTGTGTGCGAGGAAGGAGCCTAACGCACACAAGTACCACGGGGTGTGAGCTTTTTCGGGAGCATCAAGCGCCTCACCTCCGCAACAGCAGAGAATTACGCTGGGCCGGCATTGCTGCATCCATCCTCGTCAGGGCCGAAGAAGGTGCACGTGCGCGTGAGGGGGCCGAGCAAAGCTCGACGGGACCTAGTCGGCCTGCGCACCCACAAACATCTATCCGGGTCTAGCGCACACGAGCGTGGGGGCTTGTGCCTGCGGCTGTTTGAACATGTTGACGATGTGCTATGAAGAGCGTTTTGTGTTTTTGGCCGCAGGGAACCGTGCTTGTCGCCAACTCCTACTGCCTTTTGGATGGGCCGCCTCGCCGGGTTTTCGGGATTGCTGTAGCTTCGGCCGCAGAGCATTCCCATGACCACACGACAATCTCGAACGCCCATCTGTTGCCACGAGGGAATTACAATGCTTACCACACGCTCGGAAAAGTTAGAGGTCCGACGTGGATCCCTGCATCCGCGAACATTAATCAAACGACGTTAGCAATCATTGTGTAGACAGCAACTTACAGGCCGCACCTTGCCTGGTTTGCCGATGAAGGAGTTAGTTCCTTGACACCGCCGTGTACACGGATGATTTTTCCTACGCACCAAAGTTCAGCATATATGCGTCCACTCGTTACGCATATTAACTGCCAGTTGGCTTATGTATATTACGTTTGCATATGTACACACCATTACAGCACTACTGTAGTATGCCGGTCGTCCTGTTACGCCACGCCAGGCTGTCTTCCGACCAGGAAAAAGTAGGAGAGACGCCCATATTTTCGCCCCGCCCCAAAAAGCACGGACGACTGGGACACGATCATTGAGAGAGGCCCACATGCATGGGTACACTACTACTGAGAAACGAGACGCGCATGGTTGCCGAATCGCAACCACTTCGGGCAGACAGAGAGTGATAGATAGATGAAGTAGGAAACAGGCCAGCGTCCTCTACATGGGCGGGGAGACTATTTAATAGTCTACAGGTGCGGTGGACCTCATCACGTCATCAGAGCCGGGGGGGGGTACTGCGGTTGCTCGCGTGTAGTTGGTCTGTCGTAGACCAGCCAACAAGCCATGACTCACCATAACTCGGACATTGCGAATGACATGCTCAACCCGGGCGGCATTGTTTAATTAATGACGGCGTGGATATGGAGATCGTGGATGGTTCTGTGAACGCCAGGCCGCAAGAAGAACGGTCCCCGAAACTTGTCTGCCGTCGCGGCAACCTGGAGACCACAACAAGTCCACATCCCTCCGGCGAGCCTCTCTCTCTCTCTGCCCCCCGCTCCCTCCTTCCCCCCCTCCCTCCCTTTCTGGACAAGCTCTGGAGCGTTCCCCTGCAAACGGGATCGGGACGAAGAGAGGACGGAAGGAACAACATCGGTCAGCCACAAGCACCCACTTCTTTGACACACAGGGAAGAAGAACAGCTACAACAAGGTGCACTTTTTTCACAGCAGTCCCGCCGTCGCGTGAGTTCGCCTGCGGCGAGATGCGAATTCGCCCTGCCCATACAATTGGAGAAGGTTGATGAGCGCCGGCAACAAACTGTCCACGCAGCATTTCATCAGTCCCGACGCAAGTCTAACCTGGGGCTATACCAAACCGAAACATGGGCCTAGTACGCACGTAGCTCAACGAACCAAGGAAGTCCATGAAAATTAGTCTATGCTGCTGTTCCAAAATCCCGCATACCTGGTAACAATTATAGCATTTATCTTTTTGCTCACAGGCCTGCGTGCGGACCACCACGCTTTCTGCGCAATTTCTGTCGGGCGCTGTGAGCACAGCAGGCTTTTCACTTGGTTTCAGTATGCAAATCACTCCGAAATCGGCCGAGAAAACGGCTCTCGATCGCCCTCGTGCCTCCGTTTCAAAGTGCGTGTTTTCGTCGCCCGGGGGCCGTTTTGCGGTCCGGTTGGCGGTGGACGCTGCCACTTACCGCTCCTGCAACCCATATCGGTGCTGCGCGCGGGCTTTCTTATCCCGCGTTTCTCTCTCTCCGAGACCCGCTCTGCTCTCACATCGGCAACGGTGGGTCTTTTTTTCGTGGGCTTTTTTTGGTCTCTCGCTCGCTCTCACATCGGCAACGTTGGGTCTTTTTTTTCGTGTGCAGACCACTCCGGAAGGGAACACAACAATTTCATCCGTTTTTTTTTTTTCCATCGCTGCTGCTGTACAGCTTCTTCGTGTCTCTCTCCTTCCTATGTCTCTCGCTCCCATTGGGCGCTACTTTCTTCCGTTCCTTACNGCTGTACAGCTTCGTGTCTCTCTCCTTCCTATGTCTCTCGCTCCCATTGGGCGGTACTTTCTTCCGTTCCTTACGCGGTGGCGGTGTCCTCAGTCTTTTCCTGACTCCCTGCGCTTTTTTTTTCGTTTTTCTTTGCGCAAATTATATACACACGGAATGCTGCGGACCACCACGTGCCCCTTCGTCTTTGACTCTCTCTCTCTAGTCTATCTCTCTCCGCTCTCTCTATCTATCTCCCTCGCTCTCTGTCCCCGCCCCCACGGTCGGCGCCCACCCACCACACCTCATTCACAATCCTCCCCACACCGAGTAGATGGCTTCTCGCAACATTTTCGCTGCCACCCCGCCTAGCTCCAAACGCAAAACAGCCGATTTTAAACTCGGCGAAGTGCTCGGGAAGTGTGCGCGGTGTGACGTTGTCACAATGAACAGTACATCGTCAAGAAAGACAAGGCCCGTCAGGGGACGTTTTTCAGAGACAAATTCCGCAACTATGTCACACCGCGGTCGTCCGATAAACATGTTGCGCGTGTGTCCGCCATGTCCCCGGACAAAGGTGATGTTTTCTACTTGCGCCTGCTTCTACACCATAAACCAGCAAGATCTTTCGAACAGTTGAGAACGCACGATGACACCGTCTACGACACGTTTCAGGACGCCGCCAGAGCAATGGGAATTATAAAGCACGACGACGAGTACAGAATTTGCTTACAGGAGGCGGTCATATTTAACACGGGTAGACAACTGCGTGAACTGTTCGTTACCCTTATTCTTGACGGCGCTCCGGCCAAAACATTGTGGGAGCAGTTCAACCAGGATTTCACCGAAGATTTGCGAATAAACATGTCTGATCGGGATANCCGAATACATGCGATTCAAACAAACACATGTTCGACCCAGCTCAGATGAGTGCATTCGTTGACGAGCACTTGGCAAATCTCACCCACGAGCAACGGCATGTGTACGATACCGTCGTTTCAAGCGTAACATCAGGCGCCTCGAACCTATTCATGATTGATGCGCCAGCTGGCACTGGCAAGACGTACACGGAGAGCATACTGTGCGCCCGTCTCAGGTCCATGAGCAAATTAGTTTTGTGTGTAGCCAGTACCGGAATTGCCGGACTTCAATTGCCAGGAGGATGGACAGCGCACTCTAAGTTTAAGCTTCCGCTGGAAGAGAAAAACGTCAGTCGAGCAATGTGTAATATCTCTGCAGAATCACAACGAGCGGAAGTGCTACGTAAATGCGACCTTATTGTTTGGGATGAGATTCCAATGAGTCACCGTTTTTCCGTTGAAGCGCTCAACCTTACACTGCAAGACCTAATGGGTAATGACAACATAATGGGAGGAAAAACCGTACTCCTCAGCGGCGATCTACGTCAAATAGGTCCTGTTGTCAAGCATGGTGGACCAGCTGAGACTATTGATGCGTCGCTCATATCCAGCCCGCTTTGGCCTCATGTACAACGCATGCGACTAACAATTTCACAGCGTGATCGAGAGGACGCCGCGTACGCTGCTTTTGTTCGAAATGTCGGTATAGGAACACAAGCCCACACAACACCGGACGACGGTATCGATGCAGTGCCGTTAGCATATATTCATGAAGTTCCGGACAGCCCGAAAGATCAGTTTGTCATCGACAACACGGACTCATTCGAAGAACTAATTGACTTTGTTTACCAAGATATTCTCACCGCCGACCCTACCGACTTCAAGGCGAGAGCAATTTTGTCGTCGACAAATGCCACAATTGACTTAATCAACTCCCACGTGCTTGACATTCTGCCCGGGGACATGCTAACGGCATATAGCTGTGACACAGTTGACCCTCACGATAATAACCTTGACTTCGTTGCTACGGCTGATCTCAACGCAATCGACGTTTCAGGCGTGCCGCCACATGCATTGGAGTTGAAGTTAAACTGCATGGTCATGATAACACGGAACCTCAATTTCAAGCAGGGTTTGGTCAACGGTCAAAAGGCTATAGTGCGTGGTTACTCAACACGGATTGTGCATGTAGAACTCCTTGATGGACTGTCCTCTCTAGTTCTGATACCGCGTATACGTCTTAATGCAAAAGTTGGGCGGAACGGGATCGCTTTCTCGAGGTTGCAGCTGCCGCTTCGCGTTTGCTATGCCCTAACGATCAACAAGAGTCAAGGTCAAACTCTGTCCAAAATCGGGCTTGACTTGCGGTCAGACGTTTTCACGCATGGGCAACTCTACGTAGCACTCAGCAGGGCGCAGAAGCGATCGTCGATTATGTGCCTCACATTACCCGCGAGGTTGCATGGTTCCCTAAACCGTACCGCATTTGTTGCCAACATTACCTTTCCAGCTTTCGTTAACGCTGCAACTGACACCATCACTGACTCACCGCCTCTACCACCGCAATATATCGACTTCATTGGATTCACACATGCGACGAACGACCAGGTCCCCAACAGCGACGAAGGACAACCTTAATAGGACGACAACCACGACGATGAACAGACCATGTCACGACACCCCAACCAGTGCGCTGATGGCGGCTGGATTGAAGCCAAAGGGCTTTCGCGATAGCTCCACACATTACGTAGAGTGTAGCGGTTCGTGTACCGAAGACAGTACTGGGCGTGCGCTTCCTGTAGCGTTGAGGATTTGGCGTATTGGTTCTTTTGCTCTCTAGTGCGAATTCGTCGTGTCGGGTTTACATGGAGGTGTCGTGTCGGAAAAACTTGTGGGTAGCGCGTTCGCGGGCTATGGCATTAGTTACTGCAGCGACAGTTGCCATTCGTGGGTGTCGTGTGTCGGATTCTTCTGGGCGACGCAAGCGCATGTTCATGAGTGCTGGCATTGGTATTCGCAGGTGTCGTAACGGATTTGACTAGTGGGAGACCTAGCGCATGTTCATGGGTGTTCGCATGGCTTCATGTGGTGTTGGCAGTCATGGATGGTTACTACAGCCGTTGGTATTAGCATGAATAATGACCGCGAGCTAGGAACAATACGGCGGGCGTTGCCCCCTGACATTCCTTCTGGCATCACACACCATCGAAATCCTGCCTACACCACACAAGCGTATACACACACTTACTTCCCATTCATCTTGGGAAGCGCTCACAGTGGGCGTGGTGGCGTGAGCCGCCGTAAAACCTTGTATTTACTATGCACATAAATTAATTAGTCTACCAGGTACTTATTAGCACTGTAGAGCAGTGATGCTGCACCCATGCATTATCATCACCGTTGCCGTCTCACTCTGCCTTGATTTCGATACTTCGTCTGTACATCTGAACGACTTCTCTTGAGACTGTTGGCTGGTGCTCTAAATTGATATCGTGAATTATAGACACTCAATATTCACGTCACTACACGGTGTGGGAAGCGTCCTCCTTTGTTTTATTATTATTTTTTTTTCATCGGTTTCCGAGGGCTCTTTTCTCGAACGGTTGGTGCGGTGCCTGTTTCTACTATTCTGTTTTCTTTTTCCGATTGGTGTGTACCCTATTTTTGTTTTGTTTCCCCGCGGCGTCGTATGTGGCGGGTTTTGAGACCACGGGCTCCCCCATTTTTTGTCGACGATAGAGCTACAGAGTCTAATATGAGAAACAACAATAAACAACAACAACGTACGTAAGCATCTTCCTGGAACTTCCATGTCTCTCCCCTCCGCGGGTCTAGGACTTAACACTTCTTGACTAAGTATTCCCTTTGGTGATATTTCGTTTGTACATATGAACTAATAACAAAGCCAGCCCTGCGGGTGTGCTCCTTGCTTGATTCCATGTGTATTTGGTATATTATTTGGGGTCTACCCAAACGCACGCCCAGGTATTTTACCCACCCCAAAGCGCCCGGACCCTCACTAATATCCGCCGTTAGCGCCGACGCCCCGACGAATTTGATATAAATGGGCCCAAGTGTCTCGTTCACGTAATCGAGCAGCACATTTGTTACACGTCGATCTCTATTTTCAGGGGCCTTTATATCGGTCAGCAGACGGCGCACGAGTTTACACCCGATCATTACTTCTATATATTTGCAAATGAAGTCTCAAACCAACCAATACACGACAGACTCAGTGCCATATGAACAAGGTCACAGTATTCACGAACAGCATCCGATACGTGCGGTTTGTTGGCATGGACCCTTACCCTTTGAGCGTGGCGCCGCAAGCTGCTAAACCCCTGTAGATAGACAGAAACACATAAATACCGTCGCTCACGTGCAAACTGTGCTTGCCCGGTATCTACTTCGTCTTTAAGGTGGCACAGGTGGGCCCCCCATCTCGAAGACACAACCAAGTCTGCACGCGGTGGGATGATCGACCATGGTATGAGACGGCTTGAATTTTCCTATTTTTGAACAAAGAGTTGTGTTCTTTTTTCTTGTTCATTTAAACTATGTTTATCTGTTTAGGCGTGTGTTCGTGACCATTTGCTGTGGCGTGTCTGGAAAGATGAAAATAATGCGCGGGGACCACCTTCCGGTGAATAGGACCTGAGGGTCGCAGCATTCAATACAGATGGATGTACTGTTCAAATCATGGGACTGTGTAATTTACCTCTTTCGATTGAGTTCGTACGCCCCGGCACCGGCTAGAACAGTGGCTAGAGCAGGGACTCGATGGAAAAGCCGTGGTTTCGTTCCCGACCAACGGATTAGATGAAATTATCCGTGTCTTGACCCGATCTTCCGCCAGAGTACTCTGTTCCAGTACCAAGGATTACGATTCTCGTACCGTGAGTCTCTAACCGTCGCCCGGAACGACACGGAAGTATCGCGTTTTGGGTTTATCGCACAGTCACCCCCCACTCGAGCGTTAAAGCCTTGCACTTCCAGCTTTTAGGTCGTCAGCTAAACATTGACTGACGTCCATGCGTTTCCTACCGGCTCCTAGGCTACGCTCGACCCTGTTAACCTGGCCGACCCTTCAAGCCCTCAAGTTGCGAGTGAAAACGGCGAGCGTATCGCTGTTCTAGGTCATGTTCGGTGAGTGCTGTGCTTCCTAGATACTCACAAACGTCCCGAAACGATGGCTTGGTTTTCCCGGTATGTTTTGGCTCCCTCCCGCCACGAGCCAGTTTCATGCATATTTTTTGCGGTAACCATAATCGTGGGCGAGTAGATTATGTTGTGCGGGGTCGAGAACCCTCACTCCGCGCAGAGGGGATTACCGCACCACGTTGTGTATAATTGGTCAAGCACCCTCGAGGCAGTGACGCAGTGCTTGTAACTGCCTCTGGAAGTGAAAGCACCAGAAAATACGTTTGAGTCATACGCAGCTGTCATCCGCACGCAAGGAAGTAAGCACAAGATGCCGAACACCCTCAGCAAGCAGGATGCAGCGCACCCTTCATGCGACTCGCCGAATATCTCACGGTGCTTAGCGCTTGGTGACTTGAGAGCCTGGTCCGGTGAGCACCCGGCGTGCTCCATCCCGGCTTTGTAGGGATGCGAGGTCAACGGTCTAACGACTACGGCATGAATGACTATGAGTACAACCCCCCGCCACCCGCCAGAACAATCGCTAGAACAGAGACTAGATGGCAAAGCCGTGGTTTCCAAGTCCCAATCAGCAGCTTAGCTGAGACTGCCGTGTCTTGACCAGATCCGCCGCGACCTCTGTACATTCGGCAGAGGCACACATGCCCGACTGGCACGTGGCCGAGCATCACCACCTGAACAGGAAGATTCGCCCGAAAATGAGCAAGGTCCGGTTTTGCGACGACAACAATCAGCACCGTCGGGTGGTATAATCGAAATGGCGCAGAGATGGCCATCGCCAAGGAGCGATTCATTCCCTGCAAGGGCGCCCGTTCACACGGTGGGCAGAGGACACGACGCCTCGGAGGCAAACAACAGGCCGGGCACGTTGACCGCCACACCCTGGCCTGGGAAAGATTTCAGACTGAAGAAAGTTCTGCCGGACTCCGTGTACCTCTGGGCTTGCGGCGAGCGCGGCGAGGGAGACGCCCCATATCCCGTCTCGCGATCCGAGGCTGTGGCAGCCTGGGTTGTCCTCATCGTGAGAAAATCTGTACCGTGAATCGATTTCGCACGTTGTGTTGTCCTCGGCAGTAGATTGAAATGACTGGTTGCGACTCAATCACAAGATGTACATTTCAGGTTGTTCCAGAGGCTGCCGTATTGCTCGGCGTCTCAACCTGTCTTGCACCCGAGAACAGTCCAGAGAAACGGTCGTTTCGGCCATTTGGAGCACAGAATTGGATGCAACACGACGCAGTAAGTTCCTCATGAACGCCAACAATGCAGGCGAGCTTGTCGAGGATGAAGCCTGTTTCATGTTGACATCGAACCAATATGCCCTGCGCCCTCCCTGCAGCACGTCGACACATCTAACTCTCGATTCGTCTGCTGTGCCCTGCCTTCTGGGCCACGCCCCTCGCTCTTCTGCGCCACGCGTTTCGCCGTTTGTTGTTCATCTCCAAGTCTCAAGCGGTGTGCTACGCTGGTCTATGGGTTATTACTGGAAATCAGCCTCCCACCCAGAGCCAGACGTCTGCCATTGACGATGATTTTTACGCTGATAGGAGCCCCGATTACTCCATTTTGGCGATTGCGGGCGCCATGTACCTTCTGCTCACTATTGTAGCCGCAGACTTGTGGGGTGGCTGTGCGCTCTGCTTGGAAGGGCTCGGCTCGGCGGACTTTGCTTGGTGTACCCGAAGGCGGGCCTTTGGCGTGTGTATGCTGGGGACCTTCGTCGCTCTGATCGGGGCTTCCATTCGGGTCCTGTTCTACTCGTCATTCGAGAATATGGAACTAGTTATCGGAGCTGCTGCGGTTCTCTTCATCGCGGATGTGGTAAGCGGCCTAGGCGTTACATAGCATAGCACACACACTTTCGCAGAGAGCACGATTTGATTCATTGTGACAGCCCACTGCTGTTGGCTTCATACAATGAACTGCTGCTGTTGTGTCTAGTTAATCTACACGAGAAGAATTGGCTCTACTTCCCGAAGTTTCTCGGTCAAGTAGGGAGCCGCGTGCAAGCTTCGACGAATTTCTGTACCTGCTTCCTCCACAACACGCCCTTATGGCGGCATTGAAACCTGTTCGTAACAATTGATACTTCGTAGGACGAGAAGGTGATAGTGGTGCTGAAGAACGTGATGGGAAGATGGCGTCTATTCTGGGTGCTCGAGGCTATTGGCTTGAGTTTCTTCCTTGCTAAGCTGCTGATTGGGACATTGAAACCACGGCTTTGCCATCTAGTCTCTGTTCTAGCGATTGTTCTGGCGGGTGGCGGGGAGGAGTCAAACCATACCGGGAAAACCAAGCCATCGTGTCGGGACGTTTGTGTCTAAGGAGCACAGCACTCACCGGACGTGACCTCGAACCACCATACGCTCGCCATGTTCACCCGCATCTCGCGGGCTTGGAGGGGGGTTGGAATGGTTAACCGGGTCGACCATAGCCTAGGTTTAAATCAGAGCCGGTAGGAAACGCATGGATGGCAGTCACTGTTTAGCTGACGAACGAAAAGCTGGAAGGGCAAGCCTTGAACGCTTGATGCGTGGAGAGTCATCCGGCGATGAACCCAAAATGGGATACATAGTCACGTGTCGTGACAAGCGGTGAGAGACTCACGGTACGAGAATTTGATGTTTGATGTAGGAACAACTATCAGCCAGAAGCTACGATGTCAATCGAAAGAGGTATAATGTAACTATGTACATGGCCCCATGATGTGAACATTAGTCTACATGCATCTTTATGAAATCATCCTCAGGTGCTATCCACTGGAAGATGGTCCCCGTGCCTTCCTCTGCTCTTACCGGACATGCTACAGTAGGTCACGAACACAGATAGGCATGCATAGAAGAAACCAGAACGAGGAACACGACGTTGCGTTTCAAAAGTTGCGAAGTAAAACCGGGGAAAGTCAAGCTGTCTCATACCATGCACGATTTTCCCGCAGCGTGCAGACTTGTTGTTGTGTCTTCGAGGTATGGGACCCACCTGCGCCACCTTTCTTTCAAGGCGAAGCGGATACAGGGAAAGCATAGTTTGTGTGTGAGCAACGGTATGTAGGCGTGTCTGTCAATCCACAGGGGTTCAGCCGCTTACGATGCTACGCTCAAAGGGTAATGATGCTGTTTGCGAAGAATGTGGCCTTCTTCATGTATGTTGTGGCGCCGAGTCTGTCGTGTATGGGTTTGTTTACGTGATTTTTTTGAGATAATTATGATCGGGAGCTTTCTGTGCGCCGTTTGCTGACCGATATGAAGGTCTCTGGTGATAGATTGGTGTGTAACAAAATATGCTGCTCGGTTACGCGAACGACATGTCGTGTCCCCAAAAGTGAAAAATAGAAAGTATTATGCACAAAAACTGCAAAATATCATCGATATCATTGACGCCCCGGAATATAAGATTCGTCGGCTCTTCGGCGTTACCCCCGGAGATAAGTGTCCCGGCACTTTTGACGTGAGTGAGTAAAGTACCCGGGCATACGTTTGGGTGAACCCTAAGCAACATACCAAATACACATGGAATGAAGCGAAGAGCACACCATCCGGGCTGGCTTTGTCATGAAACAATTTTAACCAACGAAGTAAAGTAGGGGAATACACTTGATAGAAACAAAATGGAACGAACGGTCGGCATACCGAAAGAAGCGGAGAGAGGGCGGGTATGCATCCTAGGTAATAGTTGGAGGGGGGGCGTACTCTTATGTTTTGCATGTCTTAGCGATTAGACCATTGACCACGCGTCCTCGAGAGGACGGAGCATTGTTCCCACAGGACCGATCACCGATGGCCAATCGTTCCTTTCTACTTTGCCAAAGGTGGCTCAAAAGTGTCTTCCCTAGTCTGTCTATCCTAACGATATCCCTTCCCGCCTTTTCAACCCACCTCCTATGCCCCAGTACAGCTACCGTCCTTTCCTCTCTATTCCATGCCTCAAACATCTCCCTGTACGTTCCATCTATTTTTCCCAGCTCAGTCACGTACACTTCCCTCTCCTTCTTGTACAACGGACATTCCGCGACTACATGAACACGGTCTTCGCATTCGAAGCCGCAATCACATTTGAACTCGTCGTCTTCCTCGTCTACCGTCCTATGTCTTCGTCGACGTTCTCGAAAGCCTGTGTCCCCGGTCCTGAATTTGACCTTAAGCTTTGTTCCTGCATCCATTGGTCCATGTAGGTAGTCCTTGAACCCTATTCCTTCCTTCAACATTCCGTACACTTCTAGACCCTCCTTATCCTTGGATTCTTTCCTCAGATTCTGTTCTTCTCTCTCGGCACAAGCAACAGATATCTTCTCCTTGAACCCCTGTAGACCCTCCGTTTCCAGCGTTTCATCTTCGTCGATGTCGAGCCCCTTCCATACGTCCTCTACAACCTTGACCCATTCCGTGGGTTGTCTACCCCTCTTTTTGTTTGCCCACTTCGCCTCCCATACAATTCTCGGCAACCTCTCCTCTCCCATCCCGCACATGCGATACTGCCAGGTCAGCTTCCTCGCGTCTCTTCCCGACCGTAGGGATTGGATCCCCAATTCTGCCCTGACGGCTGCATTACTTGTGCGCCTGGAGCATCCTAGGATGGTTTTCGCTGCTTTCATCTGCGCCGCCTCGAGTTCTTTCACTACCTTCTTATTTCCTTCCCATACTTCTCCGGCGTACTCTAGCGGCGGTACGATTACGCTCTTCAAAACCGTCAATTTGATGCGTGTATCGAGGTGCCGGTTTGCGAGTATTGGATGCAGCTTCCCTGCTCGTGATTTGCCCTTTTCCGCTACCTTGGACATGTGTGCATTCCACGAGCAGTCTTTTGCGATCTCTACTCCAAGGTATGTGTACTGGTCCACTACTGCAATCTCCTCGATCCCCCACTTCCATCTATGTTCTACTGGTTCCTCCTTGTTCTCGTTGCATACCATGACGGCACTCTTCTGAACGTTGGCAGACAATCTCCACTTATCAGTAAACTTCTTCGCCGCGTCAATTTGCAGTTGCAGTCCCTCAGGGGTGTCCGACATACCGACAAAATCATCCGCAAACAGCATTCCTCAAACCGACGTTTCCGTGTTCCCTACTAGTCTTTTACTCCCTTCCGGACTGCCTCTACGACTTCCAACAGATCGTTGATGAACACCTGGAACAATGTTGGGGACAGCGTGCAACCTTGTGGGACCCCCTGCTCAATGTCGAAGAATTTGGACAGTTCTCCGTCTAGCATGACCGCGCTTTTCGTACACTCTGTCATCTGCTTCAGCACTCTCCACATTTTCCCCTTGATCCCGTATTTGGACAGTTGTTTCCACAACCCATTTCCCCATACGGTGTCGTATGCCTTTTTCACGTCCAGGAAGAAGCAGTACGTCGGCTTTCCCGCCCTCTTTCTACCTTGGATGATTCTCCCTACTGTACCGTGAATACGTGGTCCACGCACCCCCTCTTCCTGCGGAAACCTGCCGGAGGGGCGGAGACAAGTTTGAAGTTGACTCCTGTCCGTTGCAATCACGAGAGGAAGCTGCGTGAGGGGTCATGGCTACCGATGCCCTGCCGAGGCTTGCTAACTTGAGGTTTCCGGAAGGCGTGCGTCGTAGATCAAGGTCGGCCTTTGAAACCCGACGCGTCAAAGGGAGGGCAATGCGAGAATGAGTCGACACAGAAAAACTCGACGCGTTTCGCTGAGTGAGAGAAGACCTGAGCTCGGGAAAAGTAGCATCAGTAACGACGCGAAAATTCGTAGGTTGTATGGACTGGATCTTGATCTTTTCGATATCCTTCGCTTCATGACGAAAAAGACTGCGGAACACCAAACAGATGAGAGAGGCATTCCTGTTGCCGAACAACTTCGCCGTCCGTCTCTCCCTGACACGGTACACACGGGCCCCCACTTTGCGGGCAGATTTCCATCTCTCCCTGTCGCCTAAACAAAACAAGACAAAATCGATGGTGTGTACCAGTAGACTCATGGATGCAATTCTCGCGCGCGTCAAAATCATCCAGGCCAGCACTCACGAGTCACAACGGGTTCCCGTCCTTAATGGCCCGAAATTCGCGCAGCGTGCTCGAGCAACACACGGCCCTCTCAACAACACCCGCAGCATGTGCACGTGCATAAATTACGACAGGAACTTGTAACACAAAGGTTCGATTTTGCATTAGGTCGATGTGTACATCCTCCCCCCCCTTAATCACTCGGGAACAAAAAGGACTCCCAGCATGTCCCTCTTACCCCAGTCGCACTTCTCTTACGTAGTTCGCTGGGGCATAAAACCAAGGGGGCTCGTGGGATGCAAGAGGCAGCCAAGCGAAGCACGGATACACTACAATATGGTTCAAAGTGGCAATCAAGCAAGAAGTCGAGACACAACATTTCCTTCCACTACATGCGCCAGCATCGCTCGCAATTCGAGCCAAGATCACGAACCGGGTACACCCCAGTTGTGTTTCGGGCCCGTCAGGCGATGTTATATGGGTTGCTGTCAACGATAGCGATTCTAAGACAACACCCGAAACAGATTCTACAACATCGGGAACGACAACAGCTTTACAGAGATGGAACACCAACATACCTTCATTGCCCACAGGCGTGACACACCTGAGTCACACTAGTAGGCACAAGCAGTTCACGTTCTCCATGTCAACAGGAAGACCATCTATCCCACACTACTGTAGTAAGGGCACTGTACATTGATTTCGAGGACAACCCTTCTTCCAGCCCTTTCCCCGCCGTCAACCAAGAGCACAAGGTCTTGAGATATGCGCCTTGGCAAGGCCTTCTTTGACTTGGTGGAACTACAACCTACCAAGGTCACTAAATAGATTTTGCGGCGCAACACTCACAGGGTACGAACTAACCCCCCCCTCTTCCCGCCCGAATCCTCTCATGCAATCCGTTCATTTCGTCCAAAAATCCACGCTCTTTCATACAACGACGGCGGTGAAAAAACCGACTCGCCGATGCGAAACTCCTCACCACATATTTCTACAGCAATATCAGTAAATTAAGGTAGCTAATTTTCATATTCTTTTTTGTTTTTTTTCGTATCCGTTGCTTGCTTTTACTTGTCGCTTATGATGATGACGAAGACGAAGGTGCTTCTTTTTACATCATCTGGTCGTCAAGCTCTTCGTCCTCGTCGAACTCTCCTTCCTCCTCGGCAGTGGCGTCCTGGTACTGCTGGTACTCCGACACAAGGTCGTTCATGTTCGACTCGGCCTCCGTGAACTCCATCTCGTCCATGCCCTCGCCGGTGTACCTGTTGCCAGAGGCAAGCACGCACCAGGGACAAAAACATGACCGCCGCGGGCAGTAGTGAGTACAGGAATCGGGGTGGTGAATAGGGGCAACGTGATGACAACCCCGAACAAACGACCACACGGACATCTGTGTACCACAAACAAAGGCATAGGAACAGCACACCGAGGGCGGTGAAAAGGACCATCATTTGGTGTTCTAAAGTCTCCGCGATGAGCTACGGATCATGCTTACGGGTGTTCAATTCTCCTACAAGTTCGATTTCTACCAAAACGTCACCAACAACCGTACATCAGTCCTCGTGTACCACACGACACAAAATAACACGCCCGGTGACAATACTTTCACGCAAAGCACACTCACGGATCAAGTCAGAGGGCATTTATAACCAGACGCCTGTTGCCGTCAATCTCATCATCCCACCCCGCCCAAAAGAAGACGGGAAAAACAACAACGGTACCGCGATAAACCCACCAGTGGAGGAAGGCCTTTCTGCGGAACATGGCCGTGAACTGCTCGGCCACGCGCTTCCACACCTCCTGGATGGCGGTGGTGTTGCCCACAAAGGTGGTGGACATCTTGAGCCCCTTGGGGGGGACGTCGCAGATGGAGGCCTTGACGTTGTTGGGGATCCACTCCACGAAGTAGGACGAGTTCTTGTTCACCACGTTTAGCATCTGGAAAAAAGCCACGAGGAAACAACGGACATTAACACGCAAGTTGGTTTATGCATATCCGCGTCGCTTCGAGTGCCAAGTGTAGAATTCGCCTGTCCTTCGCTTCCCCTCTAGGGTGAGGTCACCCCGCGGATTCGCCCAGGAAGCAATACCTTGTCGTAAGGACAGCCCAGAATTTCAAACGATTAACAACCAAACGCCGACCAACCGTGGCGAACGGCACAGGCGAATGGGGCCGCGGGACAGCCGAAAGGACGAAAACAAAACAAGGTCGCTCGAGGCACGCCTCATCGACCAAAGCAACTCGCCCAGACGACACGTACCACCGTGACATCGAGCAATACAGGACGACCAGCCATACTGACCGTTTTAGGGGGAGGGACCGATTTTCGAAGCTCGATTGATTCTCAACCAAGATCGTGACAACACCGCAAATGGTGGTTCTTGGAGCATCTCATCGAGGACTCTCCGTTGATGCATCAGGACCCGTTCAGCACCCACTTCGTTCATTGGCAACCGAGCTTTGAGTGTCTACGGTCTACGGGGATGCCACCCGTCCGCCTCTTACGGAAGACGCGGCCAAACTCGCCGACTATAACTGAACAAGACATCACCCTCACCTGCTCGTCCACCTCCTTGGTAGACATACGGCCACGGAACATTACGGCGCAAGTCAGGTATCGGCCGTGCCGGGGGTCGGCGGCGCACATCATGTTCTTCGAATCAAAGCACTGCTGGGTCAGCTCTGGCACCGTCAGCGCGCGGTACTGCTGGGAGCCGCGAGAGGTCAGCGGCGCGAACCCGATCATGAAGAAGTGGAGCCGGGGGAACGGCACCATGTTGACCGCGAGCTTGCGAAGGTCGCAGTTCAGCTGCCCAGGGAATCGCAGGGAGCACGTGGTGCCGCAGATGGCGGCCGACACAAGGTGGTTCAGGTCACCGTAGGTGGGCGTGGTGAGCTTGAGGGTGCGGAAGCAGATGTCGTAGAGGGCCTCGTTGTCGAGGGTGAAGCACTGGTCGGCGTTCTCGACCAGCTGGTGCACGGAGAGGGTGGCGTTGTAGGGCTCGACGACGGTGTCGGACACCTTGGGGGAGGGGATGACCGAGTAGGTGGACATGATCCTGTCCGGGTACTCCTCGCGAACCTGTTGATTTGTTGTGTGGGCAAGGGTCAATGGAAGGGTCAGAAACACCACCCCACCAACGAACACGGGTTGTGAAAACCAAACGAACGTGCTGCGCCAAAACCACACAAATAACAGCGTTCGGTTCGGCGCTACACGGTGATGTTTTTCGACCTCTTCCCCTTCCCGAAAATTTCATGAACAAGGCACCGAAATACTAACATGGCCTACCGCGGTGTGTCAAATCGAACAACAGCAACAGGGAATAAAATTGGGCCATGACAATGGCGCTGCTGAACCCGACTTTTCGGGTGAAACCAAGTGGGTTGCAGCATAGCCGGGTGTTGGAGTGAAGAAGTTATCCAGGACCAAGGGTGCATGTTTTCGGGGGGAGCACTATAGAAGTACAGAAGCGGCCCCGGGCCCAGGTGTAGCGGGATGTCTTGAACAGCGGTTCCAAAATCTCGTGGCAATGCTGCACCCCGGTAACCGAACTTCTGAATGAATGTCAACCGGGTTCAGCGGCGACGCCCTCAATAGTGGGGAGAACATTTTGCGTCACTATTGACCGCTAGTCGGGACCGCGACTGCTGTAGTACGTTGTGTAGGAAGGTTTTCGTCGGAGACAAGAGCGAATGGTCGGTCAACACGTGCAACAAAGAACGCAACAAAGAACACAACGTTGGACTCCGCCGGAACAGCAATGACGGGCAGAAGCCACAACCGCAGGCAGCGCGCGTACAAGAAACACATCGTAATTGACAAACTGCATACATCGAAACTGCAGGATGGACCCGTCGTCATCGTCAAACTACATACGGCATGAACGTGGTAGGAAACACTACGCTGCTACAGATCAGCGGGGAGCCACCAACATCAACCGAGTTAAACCACCCAAACAAAATCCAGGGAAAAGCAACCGCACCACGCCCATCCACAACCTAAACGGTACCCCCGCCGCCGCACCTTGGAGATGAGCAGGGTTCCCATACCCGCTCCGGTACCGCCTCCCATGGAGTGGGTCAGCTGGAAGCCTTGGAGCGCGTCGCAAGACTCCGCCTCCTTTCGTACCACGTCAAGCACCGAGTCGATCAGCTCCGCGCCCTCGGTGTAGTGGCCCTTGGCCCAGTTGTTGCCCGCGCCGGTCTGCCCGAACACGAAGTTGTCGGGCCTGAACAGCTGCCCGAAGGGCCCCGCGCGCACCGAGTCCATGGTTCCGGGCTCGAGGTCCATGAGGATGGCGCGGGGCACGTAGCGGCCGCCGGTGGCCTCATTGAAGTAGCAGTTGATGCGCTCGAGCTGGAGGTCGGAGTCGCCGTGGTAGACACCAGTGGGGTCGATGCCGTGCTCGTCGGAGATCACCTCCCAAAACTTGGAACCGATCTGCGCAGCAGCGGGAGACATGACGACAGACGAAAAATTGACGGGACGGTTGAACAGATGTTCTGATGTGAAGTTCTTCTTGGCTGGCACGCTGATACGTGTCGTATGATGGCGCATCGGGGTTGGTAGAATAAATGTGCCTACGCGTGAGTACTTCTCACCGATCACCGTGAGAGGAGGCTTTGGGATCAACCCTCGAAACGCATCAACCAGCAGCCACCCACTTGGGCCACGCTGATGGTTTTGAATTCCCTCGGGCTTCTCTCGAATAGTGGACAAGGAGGAGGGTACATGGTTTGGAGGCGTGTTGCTCTTAGTATACCGACGTTATCGGGACTGTATTCCTCTTGCTTTTGACTCGAAACTTTGAGCAACCGCTACCCTCCGATATAATGGTGCCCGCTCGGAACCGCTCGGGTGTACTGATTAAATTCAAAAGGGAATATAAGGCAAGCCCGCTTTGAACTGCGATCTTCGAGGATGTTTCCGTCGATAGACGATGCATCGGTGCAAGTGTTGCTCCTAGTAAAAAGTCGAAACGTCTGCCGTCAAAAACGCCAAGCGTTCATCCCCATCTCGGCACATGAAAGACAGGTCTGAATGGCCTTGAAGGAGGGCGTCGCTCTCCCTCACAGTCCCGGGTAGACATTTTCAAAAGAGTCTTACATACATGTCCTTGTCTTTGTGTGCCTCGATGCAGGTCTACATGCAATATTACCAAGCTCGAATGTTGCCTCGGTAAGGGATAACGAGCTTCTACACTTGACCTGTAATCAAACAGCCGTGCGTGTGTGCCGGTCCCATTTTTTGTGATGGAGGTCTACAACACCTGGGTATATATTTGACACATCAGCCGGCGTCACACACGGGAGCGTTTGGACAAGGAACGTTTCCAAAAAAAGGCAATATCAACCTACAATTGTCGAGATGTCGCGTTGTCGTGTTATGCTGTCTTGCTTCAAGTGGCACGAGTACTGCCGGGCAGCATGAACACAGAAATTCTTCGCTGTCCCTACATTTGTTGTACATATCAACAAATATCGGCGTTCCTCCCAACCAGAGAGTCGGTACCACTTGGCTGTGTGATTGCCTAGCTTTACCCAACCCCAATCAAGATTTCAAATGCATGCAATACCATTCGGGTGCAGGGAAGAAGCTGTGGTACGCGCTCAGTGCCCCTGTAAAAAAAAAATGACCAACCGTCCGCTTGCCCCCCGCATAGATTATGTATTCGAATTTCAAAAACAGCCGTTGTGATTTTCATGCGTGGACGTCCGGACCCGAGCTGCCCTCTGGTGCCGCCATGACGTGGAGAGCATCTATTCAAGCGTCGACGAGCTTCATTGGCGACCTCGCAAGTAGGAGGCTTAGCACAGCGCGGCCAGGCACTGGACTCGAGCGCAAGCTTTAGAGAAAAGCAAGACAATAGGAGAGGACAACTCAGAAACGCGAAGTCATCACCAAGCCAGCAGGAAGAGAGAGGGAACAGCGCGATTTTCGTTTTTTATGGAACGAAACAATGATGTTGAGCGATAACATAGCAATATAGGAGGTGCAAAGGTGTTTACTCGTGAAAGGATAATTAGGAAGGGCGTCAGATGTATCACCGAGACAGATCCATGGAGCGTAACCTCGCTGTACTTTCAAGGGCGTGCTGCTTGATAAGGTGACATTGCGTTGGCGCAAGTTGCATGATATGATGGCGGGAGGAGGTTGTTGCGCCCCTCGGTGTAAGGCAAGAAAAAGAGGGGGAAAACATCTGCTGCGCGGTGTAGAAGGAACAGCTGCAACGAGATTGTTCGGGTGGACCTGGGAATCGCCGACATCCTGTGCCGCACCCTGATACACTTTGACCACGCCAGGTATCTTCCCAGATCAGAAGGTCGTGACTGATGTTGCCTGGCGCTTGCACTTCCACATGTACACGAGAGGGATTGGGAACAGTTTGGCGGCACGTGTTTCAAAAAGAGCGTTTGGGCGCTCGCTTGCTTGCCCCACCAAACATGGTTACTCTCTGAAGCGATTACAACAAACCCTCACCTGGTTACCACACTGCCCTGAAGTCGTTGCATTCCAATGATCCGGCACGTAGATGGCGGCGTGGCGAAGAAGATAGACGCGGTATGCCAGAGGGGAAGTTCGACAGCGACCCGGCGTTAGCAAGAATAGAGGGAGGAGAGCGGCCACACAACACATAGAACCGTCGTTGCCCATTGCGACGACACGGCTCTTTTCCTCACAAAAATGACCCTGAAGGAAGCAAATCACCTGCTTGAACGTGGACGATCTCCCTCATGGTTGCGCTGAGGTAGAGGTAGGGTGGGCGGGCGTGCTGGGAAGGATCAGATGGAGTACCTCGAGGAGAGAGAGAGAGCGATGGAGAGGGAACAAGGGACCAAAGACAAGAGAGATGAAGAGAGGACAGACACCCCCCCTCCCCTTTGTTTTCATATTTTGAGATCCACGGGCGGGTATGCCGAAATACAAAAACAGCCGTTGTGCTTTCCCCAAAGGGCGCGCTCATCTCCTTCACACACACGCTATTGGCCCTGTTATTCGTTCAAAATAACAACACGCAGCAGAACCATGGGGCGAGAAATTGTTCACGTTCAAGCAGGTGAGGGGGGCATGTGACATGCGGGGCCACCGACGCCGTCCTCTTTGTGCGAACATGTGTGCGCTTGTCTCTCCTTCTCCGCCCGTGTGAGTGACCCTGGTTCTCTTCTCTCTGCCACACTGCCCCGCCCTTGTGTCTCGTCCCGCCCATGCCTCCGCCTGCTCATCATGGCCTTATCGGCCGCCGGAAAACCTGACGGACAACAGGCCAGTGCGGTAACCAGGTAAGCCGCGCAGTATTCGTTTCCTTCGTGCCGGAAGGGATACGCCGTCGTGCTTTCCCCCCTCGGGGTTGAGTGATGATTAGAGAGAGGGATTAAAATGCTTCTGGTTTTGCCCCCACTCCTTAATCGTCCTACTCCTTCGTTGTCCTTCGATGTGCGGACGCACACAACCCGACGTCGTGTTGGCTTGCCGTCATGTGCCCGAAACAAGGCTCCCTCGGTCTATGGTTGCTACCTAGCCTCTGGCCAGGGGACCATCGATGGAAGATGTGGAATGATGGTGTGGCCCTTGCTTCATGACACGAAATTTGACAGCTGGATTGCGCCGTTTACCAGCCTCAAAAAATATGACCCCACCAACATGCCCCACCAACAACCCGCGAGGGCAAATGACGCAAGCTCATGAGGCTACAGCAGCAGCCCGGCTTCGTCTGGTTCTTTCGCTTGGCGAACGGATGGATTTATCGGTCAAAACGATGAAGGAGGGTTTTATTCCGGCATGTATTCAGGCCCATCAAGGGAACGTAACGTCTGGTACAGCAGTGTCAACAGCAGTCCTCCACAAAAGCATGGCGCGCATTCTCTCTTGTTCAGAAGGAGTGTCATGTCTGTGATACGGAATAGCAGCAGCCGCGTTTTGGCTTGCCACTGACGGTCTATCAATATTATTTATGTTGTCGCCAGTTTCATCCCTGCTGGCATGCACAGAATGTCCCCGTCCTGTTTTTAGTTTGATTACGCACGACGTTTATGTGCGTCTCTTGGAACCCGAAGAAGATGTGCGTCTGGCATGCGATAATTATCCCAATCTGTTGAAGCATGCAGCAACACTGCTGTAGTGTTATGAGTGCTGCTGCTGTAAAAGCTACCAGCAGTAGTAAGAGACTAGCGCGATGTTGTACTCGGAAAAAAAGTTTTTGGCCGAAAATTGCCGCGTTCCTTACCCGCCTGTGGTCTTTGAAATCTCCCAATCTTCGGTCTTCGGCACGTGCCCGAAGGCTGGCCGCTTGCAAGGCTGTTGTCGCTGGTACGGCATGAAATGATTTCTTCAACTGCTGTCCACCCAGCAATGTCTTGAACTTGTATTCTCTAAGGCATTCTCTAAGGAGCCACTTGACGTTCTGCATGCTTTGTCTCGCGCTCTCGAGTGTTCCCTAGGAGCAGTTTCCCGTAAAAAAAAATAAGACACCATCAAACACGCAACGCTGACGAAACTATTCGAGGAGCTGCACATCATATCAGCCCATCACGGTGGTATTGCTCTGTATTTTCCTCCCACCGATGTGTGTCTACGACTACATGTGCGATCATCTACACACCGGTTTTTAGCACTGGTGCTGTATCGAGCTTTTAATGGAAGATATATTTCCCTCACACGCAGTTGAGTTCGGTGGACCATGAAGGACCGTTTCTAGCAGCGTAAATTCATTGGTTCTCGATAACTTTCCTTACACTAGACGCTAACCTTGTCCCGCAATACCCGCAATGGAACGTGTTTATGGCCGTTAGTGCAGACGACAGCATAAAGTAGAGGCGGGTATTAAAGGCCACTTTAGCGACTCCCTGTGCTAAGAGCTCGTCCTCGAGCAGGAAATCGAATTTCGATGACATTGTGGTACCGAGCGATAGGTAAGGTCACCCCCCCGCAGCGTCCCCCTTGGTGTTTGCCATCGGGGTTGGGTTTTCGTCGCTTGGCAAAGACGTTGTAAAACAAGCCAATTCACTTCGTGAACTCGGTAACCAGGTAACCGTTTTTTTTTTTTTT